ACTGATGATTGCACTTGCCTCATTATAAATAATTATATTGTAGGTGCATGATCTTCTCAACCTAAAACTTTGTTGTTTTTCTGCTGTTATAATTTCATTCAGTTTATTTGTTATTACTTTGGTTGTTAATTTTAGTGTTGTATTTAATAAATTAATTCTTCTGTAATTATCCGAGTCCAATTTGTCTCCTTTTTGAAGACAGGTGTTTTTATTCTTAAGAAAATCTGTTTTGTTATGTTTTGAATTAGTTTGAGTAGTTGTTTGCTCGGATTTGGTTCTCCGTACTTTAAGAGTTCGTTCGATATTCTGTCCTCTTCTGGTGATTTTCTGTTTTTTAATTTCGTTGATGCTTTCTTTGCCTCTTCCTCCTTAATATTAATTTTTTCGCTTGTTGGTGGTTTATTATCGTCACCTTAAGCAAATAGGGATGTACCCATGTTTCCTTCTAAATGTGTTTCGTTTTTATTAGTTTCTCCATCTCTTTTGGGCATACCTAAAGACAAATCACGATGGATACACAAGAAGAGCAAAGGAAGAATACCGGACCCTAAGAAGAGAAGAAAAACGATTACATAAAAGAAAAAAAGAGAATTTGAGCAAAAGCAGTTGGAAAGCACAGAATGGCTAAGAAATCAAAATGAAACTCGAAAGTTTTACAGAAATCTAAACAAAATGCGCAAAGAGTTTAAGCCAAGAATAAGGAGCTCTAAGGATGTAGAAGGAAACATCCTAAATGATACGGCCTCAATCCTAAACAGAAGGGTTGAATTTTTTGATGCAAAATTTAATGGTCATCATATTAAAGAAGCAGATAACACCCTAGCAAATCAAAATGATTGGAATCCTTTCAACCCAAACGAAAGACCACCTACCATCGAAAACGTTACCCAAGCCATTAAAAAGCTTAAAAATAATAAATCATCAGGAGTTGATCAAATTTGCAGTGAGCTCTACAAGAATGGTGGCGATGCCCTACTATAGACACTGCATAAGCTTTTACTTCTTGTTTGGCATAATGAAACCATGCCTTGTGAATGGTCTCAAGGCGTGATATGCCCGTTACCTAAAAAAGGTGACCAGCTCCAGTGTGACAACTATAGAGGTATAACCCTGTTAACAACTGCTTACAAAATACTAGCAAATATTCTCTACGAAAGGCTGCAAGTTTACACAGTGAGCATAGTTGGTAAATATCAAGCTGGATTCACTCCAGAACAATCAACAATTGACCAGATTTATTCAATAAGACAGATTCTCGAGAAAACATTAGAATTCAAGAGAACAGTGCTATACCAATCAATGCGTGAGTTTGGTATACTAGAGAAACTTATCCGACTAACGAGAATGACAATGTCTAACTTAGAAGCCACTGTTAGAATACAGGGAGAGAATTCTAGATCCTTTGAGATAAAGGAAGGACTCAGACAAGGGGACGCTCTGGCTTGCCTTCTATTTAATATTGCCTTAGAAAAGGCAGTCCGAGATACACGAATTAGGGATGGCGGTACTATTTACAATAGATCGATACAAGTCTTAGCATATGCTAATGACATTGATATAGAAGGGCGTAGTAAGCGAGATGTTGAGCAATATCTCCTAGAATTGGAAACAGCGGTGAAACAGGTCGGTCTAGTCATCAACGAAGACAAAACCAAGTACATGTTGGTTACAAAGGATCCGATAGCAAATGAGGAACGAGAAACAGTCTTTGGAAGTCTTACCTTTGGACGTGTTGACAACTTCACATACCTTGGGTCGCTATTGACTGCTACCAATAAAACAAGCGAAGGAATCAAAAGACGAATAAATCTTACAAATAGGGCATACTATGGACTACAAAAGCATTTCCACTCAAGAAACATTCAAAGAAGAACTAAAATTATTATATACAAAACATTGCTGAGGCCGGTCCTCACATATGGAGCAGAAACATGAAGAACTTTTGGGAATGTTTGAGCGTAAAATACTCCGCAAAATATTTGGAGCTATAAACGATCAATGGCAGTGGCGCAAAAGATCGAATTTCGAATTATACCATCTCTTTAATAAACCAGATGTAGTAATGTTCATTAAAACACACCGACTTAGATGGACTGGACACATAGTACGAATGCCAGAAAATACGATTGCTAAAAAGCTAACCATAGAAACACCTGTAGGAAGAAGAAGCAAAGGCCGACCGCGAATTAGGTGGTTAGATGGAGTTGAAACCGATTTAAGAATATTAAAAATCAGAAGATGGCAATATGTTGCCAGAAACCGAACAGAATGGCGACGAATCTTAGAGCAGGCCAAGATCCACAGAGGATTGTCGAGCCAAAGATGATGATGATCTCTTTTGTTTGTCCTCTAATCATTCTACAGATTTCTTTCTGTGTTCCTAGAATTTGTGTTTCATTTGTTTTGAGAAATTCTGCTATTGTTTTTAGGCATTTGAATTTTGCCTAAAAACTCTTAATGTAAACTTTTACTTTACAGAAGATCTCGCGTCACGTAAACTGCCGTCGCAAAGATGGCCTTATATGTAATTTGTAACTGAGGTAGTGAAGTTGTAAAAAACATACTTGTACAATCGAAAAGTAGTTTAGAACATATTAAAACGTTTGTAATATTAAAATTTTAATTCAATATTTTTTTGAATTGCTTGATAACTCGGGGTGAGTTTTTACTGCGTTCACTAGGCTCTACCTAGGTTCTAGCAATGGAAGTTTTTTAGTGACCGATCAATGAAAATGGTAAATTTTATTGATGAGAATGAAGTAATGAGAATCGTAAAAATGCAGTATAAGTAGGTTAGAATAAATGAAGTGAAAAGAAGCAAGTTGTGTATTGTGTGACTAAAAAATCCAATTAAGCTAAAGAAAAAATTCTATAAATCGTCTTGATTGTACCCATGATACTATGAACTAAATATAAACCCACGCGAACGCGATCAGTAGTGTGACGTCACTTGGCGACAAATGTCACCAGAAATGTTCTGTGTTGTATGAAGTTTTGTCAGATTTAGTATTGTTTTATCGTTTAGCTCGTACGTTGACATCGGTTTACTGGGTAAACCATCTTTCCGAAGGAGGTTTACTTAAATCATATCCAGATTTTCTAATTAAATGTAATGAACTGGACCATATTTTTAACAATTTTAACAAAGGGTCATTAAAATTAATCAAGAATTATTTAAAATCGCTAATGGATTTAGCTGTGTTCAGATGTAATATTAGTAAACGTAAGTTCAGATGTCAAACATATTTTTTTTAGGTGTAAATTATATTTTAAAATTAGAAGATTGAATAGATATATTAAAGAAACATCCAAAGTTAAGAAGAAGAAATTATTAAAAATTGTAAAATAAATTGTTAAATAAACTTGTAAATTATTACAGTGTACTTTATTTTATCAGTTGTATTAAATTTTTATTTTAATAAATCAATCCATTGTATATAAATATCCATTTCCAAAAGGATGTTTAGTTTCTACTTTTTTATATAATTTTATTATCTATATAAATTGTATTAATTTACATTCCTAGGCTAAGAGATGTATATATAACATATTTTTAAGTTTTAATTGCAGATATTTTACCTAACATCCCTAAATATTCTATATATTTAAATAAAAACCCTCTCTTTCCATATATGTTTTACCGACTGTGATGATAAAAGCAAAAAATATAGACGCTTATTATATTTTTTGATAAAAGGTTGGTGATAAAAGTGGAACTTTTATCACCAAGTGACGTCATGCGCGTGTACGTACAAAATTCGAATGCGAAGTGGGTTTATCTTGGAAGTTTTAGTATCATGGATTGCACCTATGGTGTACGGGTACGAAACTGAATGTTGGGCAGTTAAAAAGACAGAGGCATAACGAATGCACCTCGCGGACATAGAAATGCTTAAATTGATGTGTAAAGTAACAAAAAAGAATAAAATTAAGAATAAGTATATTAGAGGAAGTAACAATTGATGCCAACATTAGAAAGCATAGGTTAAGATGTTTTGTTTAATACAAAGAATTGCTGATCTGCAAGTTCCTGTAATATAATAGGGTTGATATTAGTACGATTCAAGATAAAAGCTTATTGATGAAAAACATTTTGCTATTACTATTTTTCATTATCATCATCACCCAGCCCCTTGCGTCCACTGCTGGACAGAAGCCTCCCTTATGTTTGTCCATTGTGCTCTATCTTGAGCTTCTTCTTCTTCTTAGTCTTTACCTTGATGCAGGTATCGTGATATTATGAAGCTATTAGCTAAATTTCCCAATGTTCCTCCACGTTTTTCTATATTCTGCCATTCTAGCAGATTCTGACAATGGAGCGCCAATTGTAGCAACAATATGGTCCATGTATCATGTGGGAGATGTTTGTGGGAGAGGGTTTGCCATGTGTGATTTAGTAACGTCGATTGGTCAGAAATAGAGAAGTCGGTAGCTGAAAATTTTCCAGTAGCTGCGTCGAAACGAGTTTTAGCTCCGTCGTTCATTATTGTTAAATTCATGCTATTGACTACGTTTGCTAATAACTTTCCATTTTTAGTTGTTTTTTCGGAACCCTATAGAAGATTATGGCTGTTAAGTCCCCGAGAATTAATTTTGGTGATGGAATTTGCATAATTAAGTCGGAAAGTTCATTTTCTTGGATATTTTGGTTCGGGGAATATAAATGTTACATATGTTCATTTTTTGATTAGAACCTATTTTCACCGTTACTGCTATTGCTTCTAAGTTTTTATAAATTGTGATTCTGTTTACTTGTAAATCGGTCTTAGCATATATCGCAACACCGCCACTAGCATGATTTGTCTGTCTATTTTGATAGTAAACATTATATGACTTCAAGTAACACGCATTGTTGCCTTTAAAATTAGTTTCTTAAAGACATATAATATCAGGTGAATATTTCCTAATAAGTACCTGAAATAAGGATAGGCGGGTGTGAAAACTGTTTAAGTTCCACTGTAGAATATTATTATACATGAATTATATTTTTATTTAAATAATTAGTTTTGAGATATATCGTTATCTAAGTCAGATGAACCAACGTGTTCGAGAAGTTGTTTAGTTAATTTTTTGCTTAGTCTAGTACATTTAATTTTCATATTTCGATCTTCAGCCTGGGTATGTATTACATTTATCATTTCTATAAGAGATGTAATATGTAGGGTATAATCTTTAGCAATGCTTAATGCATCATTACTATGGTGAGTGCTCTCTAACAGATCAGTGACTTGTTGACTATCGAGTGGGATTTTGGGATTGTGATTGTCAATGAAATTGGTTATCTTTTGGGGCAATTCTCGGAATTCTAATGAGGGTTTATCTTTCGATTTCAAGTTTTTCTTTGGAACTTTTGGAACAGGTGTTGTAAAGTAAGATTTTGGCTCTGAGGAATTAGTAATATCTGGTTTATCTTCTGGGCTAGGTATTGCTATTTCAGATAAATTTCGTTTGGAGGTCGTAGGTTTAGATACCGGAGTTATTTGAAATTCAAAAGAAGCGGGCATGTCGGGATTGGGCTCATTAAATGTAGGGGTAATTGGTGTTTGTTCACATATCATTTCAGGGTTAGTAGTATTTGATATAGACTCACCTACATTATTGCTGTCTAAGGAATGGTTTAGAGAGGAACTTTGTTGTTGTGATCTAGTATATGAAGAAGTTGAAGTTTGGAGTTGAGGGCCGGCACATTGAGATGCAAAATGATCTGGTTGCTTGCACTTATATCATAATGAATCTGTTGTAAGAAATATGCGATATTTTAAGTCATCATAATTAATTTCTAGTGTATCGGCAATTTGGAAACTCTCTTCTGGAGGAGATATGTACACCTGCCTTCGAAAACTAAGTATGTGACTATACGCTGGATCGGTTGCTCCAATTCGTAAGAATATAAGGGGTGACATTAGCTGTAATCCAATGATTTTTAACTCGGTTTCCAATAGATTATGTGGAATTGTGGGACTTACGTTGGATAACAAGTCTTTGTGACGGGGTAACTAGCTTTCGTAATGGTATTACTGTGTTATTAATCTTAATTATATTATGTTCTTTTAAAAATTTGTCTACAGCTGATTTACTTGATAAGTATACACAAACACGGTTGTTTGAGATTCTGGATGAAAAAATTATGTTTTTTTGGATCTACAAGTGGTCCCAGTTCTAATAAATAATCTTGTAATTTGAGGCCCTCTATTGCAGAAAAGATAATTGCCTGATCTTTGCTAGGAAAAGTTGTGAGTTTGTGAGTGAATCAATGCTGTGAAGTATTTTTTAGTGTTTGGTGAGTTATCAGTCTCAATAATAACATTGCCGTTATTACTATTCATTTTGGTCGTTTTCGATTTTTCGGTTTCATCAATTCGGCTGAGTACGGATCTGTTTTATTTAAAAGTTGACGAGCAACCAGATTTTGATAATTGCTCTTTTTATTTTAACCAAATTGTTAGGTTAGTTACGACAATAATTTATTCAGTTTATTATCATGCAATCAAACAAAATCAAAGTTTTCTTTACTCACGTATGATTTCCTGCACTTAAACAATCACTATAATTACTTTAGCAGTAATTTTATCTTGTTAGTTATCGGTTTTTACTATTAATGTTTCAGAGCTGTTTGTAAAACCAGTTGTTGGTATCACGATCAGGTCAGAACCTACAATTACTATTTTTAATTTAATATTTCAATTATTTTCAATCTTCATATGGCAAGAAAATATTTTAAAACACATGCAGTCGCTAACTCAAGATTCATTATTTTAGATTTTTTCGCCTAATTCGTAAAGATTCGTACAGTTTTGTACTAGATATCTGATAGTCTAGTGGATTACGTCTATAACCCCATAATTTGTGATTATTTAATATTATTTGTGGTTTTTTGTTACAATATTTAACAAACCCTTTAGCTCAGAAATTTACAATTTTACTCAACCTCTTCATTCATTAAATCGTCAAAATAATTTTATATCGACAACTCATTTAATGTAATAATGGCATTATATTACGCTCAAATATATACCACATCCCTCGTAGACCACTACACAATATATCTTCCGGTTTTGATTAGTTTATGCCCCCTTATTAGTCTAGACGGACTTATTATTGCCGTGGTTCCTTACTTGGCATTCTAGGTGTGGTTTCGTATTGTTGGTAATAAAATTTTATATATCTTTGCCAGCTATTCGAACTCAAAATGAAAACCACTTGTTACAACTTTCGTGTATTACATTGGTTTTGGCATAAAGCAGAATTTATTTGATATATGTTAGTTTTATATTTTCTACTTCTCTCCTGTTGATACTGATAAATATGTTAGTCGGTTAATTTATTTAAAATTAGTTAGTTATTTATAATTGTTTAGAGATAATTCGCATATGATCCAAATGTAAACAATAATTTTGTCTTTTTTTCTCCGGTTTCTTATCTTATTTTTTATTATCTAAATTAAAACTTTTAATGATTTCTTTTTGCGTGAGGTATTCAATTCGTTTCCATATAATATACACACCATAAGAATATGCAATAAACGTAACAATTAATATGATATTACGGAAATAAACCTAAACCAAATGTTAAAAATATCCGCCTCCAACATCTATGCAAGTGTGGATCGGATCTTTAAATAACTGAGCCACAATTCTTAACATTTTTAGTAAGTATTAATTTCTCTCTTCTTCTAATTTTAATTTCATCTGGCGTTATTATATATAATAAAGAATAAATATGATATAACGGAAATAAACCTAAAGCAATTGTTAAAAATATCCACTTTTAACATCTATGCAAGTTTGTAACAGATTTTCAAATAACTGAGCATCAATTATTAACATTTTTAGTAAGTATTATAATTTTTTTATTAATTGTAATGTATTGTTCATATTTTAATTTACTAAAATACGATAATTTATTATCAATTTATTAAACAACTGCACGATAATTTATTTGACTAATAATTAGGTACATAATTTATCTATACGTGCGTTACATTTTAAACGCGAGCGCGAGCTTCTTTTTTACTGGTTTCCCACAATGAAAATCCCGCTATTTATATCCAATACCGCTAGACTAGAAAAGTCGATCGCCTTCTAGTCTAGTCAATTCGAAAAGTCGAGCCGTCGGCTGCATTCTCTCCAGAAGTTGTTATTCGACCCTTCTGGGGAATTCGGTAGTATATGACCTAGAAACGTGAATGAACAGAATATTAGTACCAAATATGTTTACGGTTATATGACTCATATATTATATCATAAAATATATGACTCATATATTTTTTTACGTAACAGTATTATTTTCTTTCTTCTTCTAGTTTTAATTTCATCTGGCGTTGTCAGAGGCTTTTGGTACACAAGATTTTTTAATTTGCCTCACATGAAAAAATCAATTCTTGGCAATTCTGGTGATCGCGATGGCCAAACAGTTGGTCCCTTCTCTTTCTATGCACTTGCAGTAAAGATATTATTTAGATGATTGTGAATATGCTAACAGTGTGATTAACTCATCATCGCGTCATGTAGAAACAAATTTTTTTGTTGAATATTAAGTGGAACTTTTTGCAGTAGTAATGGCAAAAGATTATTAAAAAAACAGATATATAGCACCATTCACACGGCCGTCAAAAAATGTAGGCCAATCAACTAGTACCCAACAATACCACTCCAAAAATTTAAGTTTTATTATGACAATTAATAAAGTAAGAATTGCTTGCTGCATAGTAGGGACAATTATAATGCCAATTCTTTATTCCATTTTTGTAAAAAGTAGCCACATATCCATACCCAAAAGCACATTATCGAAAAATATCGGTCGGTATGCACTTGCTGCTGACACCATTGACAAAAGGCTAATTGAATTTTTGCCGCCGAAGTTTGACTAATAATATCAGGTTAAGGCTGTTTTATCGGTACACCAAAACCTAGATACAGTGTTTTCTCTGTTATTTACCGACAAAATGTCTCGAAATTCGGACACGTTATTCAAAATGATGTTGCCTTTAAACTGATGGTTTTACTTTTTTAATTTTTTTGAAAGTTCTTTTGAAATATCGGATTATGACGTTCTATTATAACCAAACTTTTTACGCCCATCACTTGAAAAAGTTTTTTTTCTGTAATCGTTGATTTTTTTTCACCTTTTTATGTCCAGTAATAATCGAGAAAAGCGTGTTCAAACTTTGAAGAAAATTGAAAAAAATGCTGAAATCTAATAGTGAAACGTGTTACTCATCATTGGCATTTAGGTTCACCGTTATCGGCTGCGTGACGTCAAATCTCATGAACGTACGGTCAGTTAGTTTGATTTGAAATCATTTTCAAGCTATAACTGCGAAATTGTTTATTTGTTTGTGACAACAAATTGTTTTTTTTATAATAAGATTTTTATGTTATTTTTAATTTATTATAAGTAAACACCATGTTGTTTTTTGCAGTCACGTTTCACAAATTTTTATTCAATACTGTATTTAGCTAAGACATATAAATTATAAATGTGATAATTATTTTTAAAACATCTACGATAATCAAACAAAAAATGTATTCCCGACAAAAGTAATTTAAATGAAGAATAATGCAGTTATTGTCATTAAACCACCCATCGGCCGGCGCCACTACGAAAACAGCTGTACCCGTCGTCGGCTGGCGTAAGCAGTGAGGAAAAGTAAGTGATACGCCCATTTCAAATCGCAGTATGTTTTGACTGCTAAAACAGCCTTAACGTGAAATTTTACGTGGGCTGACGTGAGAAGCTTCAGTAGTAGCTAACAGTACATCATTCTTTTGCTTCACTTATAACAGTTTTAGTTTTTTCATTTCTTTTATCGAAACTGACCTAGTTCGAACAAACGATTCATTAAATTTTTAAAAGCTGTTATGTTTGACTTTCTCTGTTCAGAAATGTCGCTGTTGATATATTTTTTATGTAAATTGGCAATTTCTCCTATAACCCATATCATATTTGTTAATTCTTAGACAGAAAAATTCATTTTTAAAATTATATACAAGCCACACAAGATAGACACACGATATAGAAACAAATATTATACCGATTGCGAGAGGGGTTATGTGAGGGATGCGTCTTGTCTCCGACGCTTTTCAACGTGTACTCACAGGTCATATTCAGAAAAGCCGGGGACCTCCGCCGCGGAGATGGTACTTAAAAAAAGAAGCAGGTCTACGATTGTAGACCACGTATCTACTGACGTTACAACATCTGGCTACACTGCAGATATTTGATTCTATTGTTTTCAAAATACAAGGTAACTTTTATTTATTATCATTTGAAACACTTGTAGTTACTGTGATATATTTTAGATAATACTTTGTCCGAAAAACCACATGAAAGATATCTGCAATGATTGTTTTACTGCATCAAATACACAAGAATACACAGTTTTAAGAAATAACTTAGTGTACAGAAAATTATTAAATGTAAAATTTGCTAGGTAGTCAACGACGTATGGGATAACTATAAAAAGGGATTCCAAAAGTTAAATTGGTCTCTTTTACCAATTGTCTTACCCACTGTCAAACGGCATCGAAATTATTCGGCGATACAATTATTAATTATGATCTTTAAATGATATGGAGATTTATATAAAATCTAATAGATGTTAACGATATGTGAGATAACTACAAAATCTATGAATGGCAACCAGCCTTACTTTTCTTCAATTTAACAAGCATTTGGTAACGGCGGAACAGTAGCATTTATTGTCTTTCTTCCGACGGTTAAATGGGGTGATGTAAATTGTATACCAAGATGGATATGTTACGGGAATTAACCTTCTTTCAAATTATTGTGTACTCCTGTGTATAGGACATAAATCGATACTTATAATGAGTCCGTTAACATCACCGGTTGAGCAATATAATAGAAAGCATTGGTACATTAAGTCAAAATATATAATGGTACATCATAAATCGGGTCAGGAATCTAATATGGTATTATACATATGTTCAGTTCAACTATCGCATTGAATTAACTTCAAAGTTTATATTGATAGAAGTGTAAGGCTCTAGTAGATATGGTGGTGTAGGCATTTTTATACTTAACGGCATTAATTATCAAATAATTAACTTTAACTCTAAATTTAATACTGGAATAGAAGTGCGTGCAGTCTTACTTAATAAAAGTAATATATCTTTTGAGTCTGTATATAAACCATCTGACATCAGAATAGAAAAGGCTGATTGGATACATTTATTTGAAAAATGTGTTTATAATAAAACAGTTTTTGTGGTGATTTTAACTTCCATTATTATATGTTGGGTAGGATCCTGGATGACCGTAATGAAAGAGAACGTTTTTGTCCAATATCTTTACATACATCATCTTTACATCCATAAGTAAAACCATCTAAACAGGGGAGTGTATTTCTGCTTTGTTAGTGCAAAATCTAGTTTTGAAGAAGTAACAGATTTTGATATGGAATCTATACTTGTATTAAGGCGAAAAATTTCTTTATTCCTACCAACAATATTACCAGAGGGAGATGAAGGTGCAAGTTGGTCTAGTATCTGATTAATGAGATCTTTCGAAAGTTGAGAGTTTTTGTTATACTTGTTGATAGTTATTGGAAATTGATCTTATGGTTGTCCATATTTTTATAGAGGTGTGCTTTTGTTCAGACTATTTAAAAATGTGTCCAACTACTTTTTTTCTTTATTTTAAATAATCGTCGGGTTTGGGCTGCTATATTTTTATAGTTTATGTAATTATTATGGTTACTTTGCATTCGATACGCTTTCAAGACTTGTGATGGTTTTTATTTTATATATACATTCCTCATCCCACCAGTAAGACCTTGGCGTTGAAGGAGTAAAAGATTTTTTATGGACATGGATTTGGAAGCAACTAGGGAGATATTCTGAAAGAGTAGCTATATTTTCATCGTTAGAAAGATTATCAGTTGATAAAAATGTAAATAATTGTTTATCTAAATCCGTCTAAAATAGCTTCCAGTCAGCGCGGCAATCATTCCATTTTGTTGATGGATTAATTAGGAATGAAGAAGAATTAATTGTAAGTTCTATTTTATTAGAAAAATGATCCGACTCCATGTTTCGGACATATACTGACCAGTTTATACGATTTGTTAATGTAGCTGATGTGATAGTCAAAACAACGGCAGAATTATTCCCTCTCAGGGCGATTCTAGTATGTGTTCCGTTATTTAAAGAAACTAATTCAAAAAAATCCATGCTTTCGATTAATATTCTACCATTACGGTTATCCAGGATTGGACTTGACAAGTAATGGTAGGCATTAAAATCACCACAAAAAACTGGTTTATTATAATCGAATTATTCAAATAAATGTATCCAATCAGCCATTTCTAGTCTGATGTCAGATGGTTTATATATACACACAAAAGACATATGAATTTTATTAACTAAGACTGTCCACACTTTTGTTCCGGTATTAAAATTATAGTATAGTTAATATTAATTATTTGAAAATCAAAGCCTTTTAGTATGAAAATACCTACACCGCCATAATCACGACATTTTGAAACAATTATACCCTTTTAATTTAAAATCCATTTAGCTTTTCGACCAAGTTTCGGATAAAATAATAATATCTATATGAGAATTATTAATATAATTAACGAGATTATCCCTATTACTTGCTAATGATCTACAATTCCATTTGTAAAATATTTAAGGAACATTGAGTAGGTTGACTGTATTTGAAAATTAATAATACGAGTGAATGCTTTTATTGTCACTCGTCGCTACATTATCAGTCTCTGTGTTAGTAACTCTTTCCTCTAAATTATTAGAAATAAGTTTTATTAATCTACTAATTAATCGTATTATTAAGCGCAGTAAAAATCTTTTGAATTATTTGCAATCGAATAGACTAGTATGGGATATAGAATAGACTGGGAAATCAGTACAACAATTAATGAAAAGAAGAGAAAAAATATATATACATTCACATATATATCCATAAATACATACGAATAACATGGGTCACTCGCTTCACGTCCAGGGGCTTATCAAGACATATACATATATAAAGGAGAGAAAACAAAGGTGATAAGTAGAAACAATTTTTTTTAACTTAAGAAAAATATTACATTTGTTCAAAAAATCGATTATGCAATCGTAAATTAATTTATTTTGAGTCACTAATATAAATAAAACCTTAAACGGAAATTTACCGGTAATATGAACTATATTATTATATAATAAGGTGTATTCCAAATTATATTTGGCACAACCAAAAATTACATTGTCTAGTTCGCCTTTTACTTCACATTCTACACAGTTTTTACTCTCAATCACATCAATTCTTACAAGATGCGCAGGAAAACCAGCATGTCCAAATTTTAGCCTAGATATAGTTGTTATATAACGTCTAGGAACATTATAAGTTCTATGCCAATGTGAAACAGGGACATTTGTGTGTGAAGGGGTATATCTATTTGGGTTAATAAAACAAAACTCAGACCATAGATCACTTCATTTATATTTCAAGACTGGCTTGCGTGTAGCAACCAAATCGGAAATACTGGGTAGATATTCTGTGAATCCACATATTCATTATGTTTAATTCCTCTGTGTGCTTTGGCCCATATAAATATCACATTTTTTATTTTCTTTAAAGTGTTTCACTAATTTTTTAATTACTATTATGTAGGGATTGGAGTATGTGGTTGAAAAAAAAGGTTGGTTAATGGCTGTGAGAACTGACAAGGAATCTGAAACGCTAATAACGGAGGATTCCCTGTTAGAAACAAAGAGTATAGCTTCATATAAGGCAATTGCTTCCGCACTAAATAAGGAAA